GGGCGATCCTGCATGCCAGAGTTCCTGTTTTGTCTTTGGCCAGTGCACGCTTCGTTTCTTGCACCATTCTTTCGGCCTGACCGTTGGTGGCAGGATGGTATGGCGCACTTGTTCTGTGCTTAACTCCGTTTTCCTTAAAGAATTCGGTTGTCTCTTGTGATACGAACGATGTTCCATTATCTGTAACTACCTTCTCCGGCAGTCCAAACGTTGCAAATAAATTTTGAAACTGTTCGATTACTGAACTTGATTGTATGTTCTTCATTTGGCGTACCTCCAGCCACTTGCTGTAGGCGTCCACGACAATTAAAAACATTTTACCTTCCAGAGGACCGGCAAAATCAGCGTGGATGAGTTCCCATGGCTGGGATGCACGATGCCAGTCTGGAACAGGTACTTGAGGTGGGGATCGCTGGTGTTCCAGACAAGTGACGCAGGATCTTGCCTTTCGTTCGATGTCCTTGTCTATGCCCGGCCACCACACGTAGCCGCGTGCAGCGCTCTTCATTGTAACCATGCCTCTGTGGCCAGCGTGCAATAAGTTCAATACTTGAGATCTGCATGCGCTGGGGCTACTATCCTTGTACCACGAATTAGGCATTGGTTGACTGTTGACAGCTCATTGAAGATGCTCTTGTAGGGACGATAGTCTTCGCCTTTCAACTTTTGCAGGTTTCCTTCTTGAACGGCTCTGTAGACGCGATTCAGGATATCGTCTTGCTCTGTCAATTCTGCGATGCGTTCTGGTGACAGATTCGAAATCGGAGAACATGCTAGCATTAGCACATCTCCAGGTATGCACGGTTCGTCTACATTGGCTGGTAATGGTAACCGGCTGAGCGCATCAGCGTTCTGGTGGCATGCTCCTCGCCTGTACACCAGGGTGTAATCGTACGCGCTCAACTTGACGTACCATCTTGCCATTCTTGGAGATAACATATGTGGAATCGGTTTGGTCGATCCAAGGATTCCAAAGAGCGGTTGGTGGTCAGTGTATATGACGACATGTCGTCCGGCAATGTACTCGTGAAAATGACACACTGCGTACACGACGGCCAACCCTTCCTTGTCTAGCTGCGAATAGTTTTTTTCTGCAGCTCCCAATGTCCTTGACGCAAAGGCGACCGGCGCTTCACGTTTTAGGTCATCTTCCTGGGCAAGGACTGCCCCCAGGCCGTAGGGCGACACGTCGCAGGAGAGCAGCAGCGGCTTGTTTTCGTCATAGTGTGCCAAAACAGTGGATTCTTTCACCAACTTTTTCAGTTTCTGGAATGATAACCTATGCTTGTTTTTCCATTCCCACGGGACATTCTTCTGAAGAAGTCCATAGAGGTCGGTTGCAACTGTGGCTCTGTTCCTGAGAAACCGGTCGTAGAAGGCCAGTAGTCCCAGAAACGCCTGCAGTTCGTTTTTTCCTCTCGGTTCCGGCGCGGCCAGAATGGCTTGCACTTTTTCATCTGTTGTGTGAATTCCTGCTGCGTCAATTCGGTGCCCGAGGAACTTGGCTTCGCGAACTGCGAACTGACATTTTTCTTTCTTGAGCCGCAGGCCTGCGTTTTCGAGTCTGGACAGTACTTGGTCCAGGCGTGCAGCATGTTGTTCTCGGCTCTCTCCACTCACGATGATATCGTCCAAGTAGATACTTATGCCTTGAATGTCAGCCAAGGTTGTTTCCATTGCACGCTGGAAAATTGCTGGTGACGCTGAGATTCCAAAAGGCAGGCGTTTCACTTTGTACAAGCCTTTTATGGTGTTGATGGTCAATACAGCTGCAGTGGCTCCAGACACTTTCAACTGTTGGTAGGCTTGACAAAGGTCCAATGTCGAGAAAACGGTGCCCCCTCTCAGGTTTGCCAGAACTTCTCCTGTAGTTGGTAGTGGGTACGCTGCCTTCTTTGATACGGCGTTGACAGTACTTCTGTAGTCTCCACAGAGTCTGATCTCTCCACTCTTTTTACGGACGAGGACTAGAAGTGTAGCCCACTCCGAATGTTGTACTGGCTCGATTATATCCTGCTCTTGCAGTCGGAAGAGCTCTTGCGTTACTGCAGATCGTAGTGCTAGTGGAACGGAACGAGCCTTGCAGAACTTGGGCGCTGCTCCCTCCTCTAGTTCTAAGTGAACAGAGGGTCCAGTGTATACCGAAATGTCCTCATTGAAGACCGTGGAATGGCGGTGTAAAACCGCTTGTACCTCTGGCGGCGTGCTCTGCTGTCGCACTTGGTTGATTCCTTGTAACCTGATGTGTAGGGCCTGGAACCTGTCGCGGCCCAGGAGGTTACAGCCGGATCCCTTCAACACTAGAAGCGGAAGCACGTAGTCTTTTGACTTGAATCTGACGGTAGCTTGGAGGGATCCCAGAAGCTTCAGTCCTTCGCCACTCCAAGTACGCAGTTCAACATCGTCGTGCGTAAGTTTCGGCGGATTCCGTGGCCAGGTTTTTCGGAAGGTCTCTTCGCTAATTAGTGAGCAGGCGGAACCCGAATCAACTTCGAACTCCAGTGGTTTGCCTTCAATTCGAAGTGTGACGTGAAACTTTGAAACAGCTGTGTCCGGCGCCAGCTTGTGAAGTTCATAAAATGAGCATCCAGCATTAGGCGGTATTTGGCTCTCTGAACTTGTCGATGCCATTATCTGGTTCGCATTCTTGAGCGGTTTGCTTGCCTGATGCTTTTTCTTGGCAATACAAGCTTTTTCAATATGTCCGCGCTTGTTGCAGTATCTGCAGTCCGCGTTCTTGAAACGGCACTCTTGCGGATCATGTTGTCCCGTACACCGGTAGCAACGTCGCCCCTGTTGTGTTGAGGGCTCCTTGTTCCTCTTTTCCGTCTGGTGCACCTGATGCTCGATTTTGCTCTTGATGTCCTGCTGCTGCTTAAGTGCGCTCTCAGTTCTGACTGCCATGTCAAAAGCAGCTGCAAACGTCAAATCTTTTTCTGCAAACAGACGTTGCTGCAGCAGCTCGTCGCGTATGCCGCAGACAAATCTGTCGCGCAGCATGATGTCCAACGACAGTCTGGTGTCGCAAAGAGGTGTTGCTGGTGTCCCAGTAGTAGCCCTTGTACCGGAGACCTGACCTGCCGTTGATGGCTGCGATGCCGTCGTTGCAGCAGTTATCGATGAGGTCAAGGGTATACTGAAATTGCAGTCTGCTGCCAGTTGCTTCAGAGCCGCGACGTAACTGTTGATTGACTCGTCGGCTAGCTGGTCCCGACGCTGGAACTTGTAGCGACTGTACAGCTCCGAGGCTTGAGGGTCGAAGTGTGTCCCAAGGATCGACACCAGTTCCTCGAACCCGATATCTCCCGGCGTCCTAGGGACCACTAAAGCTCGAACGATGTCATACGTTTCTGGCCCGCAAAGCGTGAGTAGCAGTGCCCGCTTCTTGTCCAAGCTCGTGATAGAATTAGCCACGAAGTAGAACCCTAAGCGTTCGATCCATGACGCCCATGCCTTGCCTGAGAAGGCTTCGATGGTACCTTGGGTCGGCATGGCTTGCGGTGGCTGTCCAGGCTTCGTTGGCTCGTACCAGGCCTCGTCGCCAGTGTTGTATTCGAGTAGGCAGAAAGACTACCGCCGAATACTTCGTATTTATTCTGGTCCGGCCGTTGCGACCGGTCGGCAGATCGAGAGCTTGCGAGTGCGCGCGTTCTGCGTGTGCGCGCGTTCTGTGGCTGCTGTGCCAGCATCGTCGTCCTCTAGCACAGTATTCCGACACCGGGTATAACACTTCTGATAACTGGTAACAATGAGTTTAAACGCCAAAATAGCTGATATGTCGATACTTCGGAGCGTTAATCATTCTTTGGCAGCTAATCTAACCCAAATTTGTTAAGCGTTCAAAATGGTGATTAAGCGAAAATTAACTTTTCTCTCCCCCCCCCCCCCCCCCCCCCCGTCTTGCGCTATCGTCCGATGAGTTTCTCCGATATCACCCTATCACCCGACGAATACCTACCCTGAGAGGGCGCAACAGGTATACATCGACAACAGTTTTGGACGTAAAAGGTTCATCCCTAATGGACTCATCCAACTGTTGGGGATTTTGCGCGTCCCGTATTTCAGTCTATTCATTTCAGTCCTAACGTATGGAACTATACATGCCAGAAGTACTTACGGCACGTCATGGCAAAGAGGAGAACCAGCAGGATCGCCATCTTTGAAACGTACGCAAACTTAGCTGCCATGTTGAGTTAACCATTTCGTCGTTTACCCTGAGACTGGGGTTTTTTTTGAAGAGCAGAAGTAACAGAAACAGACAGGTCTCAATTGAGACCTGTCTGTTTCTGTTACTTCTGCTCTTCGAAAAACCCCCAGTCTCAGGGTAAACGACGAAATGGTTGACTTCCACCAGCTAGCCTGTACTTTGACTCTTTTCATGTTGAGTTAGTTCGTTGTGTATACTACTCGTGATGACTTTGGAAACGTGGTGAACATGGCGATAAAGGGACGCTTATATAATGACTCCACCAGGCAATCGAGTATCAGTGTCAGTCTCTATCAAAGTTTCTGAATTATTAAAAAAACAACGAAATAGTAATATCCGGCACGTGCATGCAACAACACCCAGCATTTCTGACAGAGGATGGAGAAGGTTTTTTTTTTATAATTGGCCAAGTTATTCAGGCAACAAGGTGGGAAACAGACGTACGCTCTATTCTACTTTTTTGAACATTTGCCAAACAGTCGAAGCTAAGTGCCGTGCAGTGAGCCTATTACAGTGTCAAAGTCTGCCCTCAACTGGGACGGGAAATGGACGGAATAGAAAACAAATCATCTTCATCGTGTGTCACACAGTTTGTCGCTGCGTCCCCACTTCCCGTAGACATTACCGGACGTTCTGAATTCGAGTTAGACAAATTATCTGCAAATTTGTTGTCGTCCCACTCAGGATGACCCAGAGCGGAGATTGCGTGATAGAGCAACCGTATAAAGCACCGCTTGTCACCCTATTCAGATGTGTCCTTTTTATCAGCAGCATAACGACAAGCTGGAGCAATATGGCAGCTAAGTTTGCGTACGCAACCAAGGCGGCGTTTCTGCTAGTCCTTTGCCTCGCCGTGGCGTGCAGTGAGTAGATACTTCTTCTTGTATTCGGTGCACATTCCTTAGAGTTAGCGACCAATAAGATTGCCGCATCAACCGGTAAGATCCCCGAAGAAAAGGCCCCTATAAACCAAGAAGTGTGATCATAATATGCCGCGCCTCTTTCCGTCATCATATTCGTGGTCACCTCCACCAGTGACAGGCAGTGGTGGAGCGTGCTAAAACAGGGAGAGGGTCATGATGAATCACTCTTATATGAGGCTTTTGGCGTGAGCTGAGACTGCGTAGAATGTACCAGACGACGGCGCGGCCGAGTTCCACGTCTGTTGTGGCTTCTTATTTTGCGTTTTTGTTCCCTCTACGCTCGTACGTGGAAAATCGCCGAGGAGCTTTGGTGATTTTATTCTATCTGTCTGCGATCGGCTAATTATCATGCATTGTATTTTATGGCCATTTAGGTACACTCTAAAGAAAACAAGGAAAAGGAATTTTTTCTATTAATAAGAAAAAACTGCTTGAGTTCTTTGTGCGAGTCGCGTTTCGTTGTTTGTCACTGCACCGTAACTAGGCCTTAGAGTAAATGACTATACTAGGCCCTAACCTACTACCGAACAAATAACAAAATAAGGACACGCTCGTCAACAAGTAGGGAATTTCTTCAACGAACTGTTGTCAGCAATTTTCTTCGACACCATTGCCTCAATATTGGCAGATATACCAAAGACGCATAAAATATGGCCGGCAGCCAAAACGGCATGAGTATATCATGTTAAATGCTAACACCTGACTACATGAGTAACGACAGTCAACACGCACGAGAAATCGCATGTCGGCGCGAGGAGAAAACTGTATGCAAATAATCGCTGAAATTAGTCCCCTAAAATTTGCTCAGTCATGCAGTCTCCTTTGATAGGGAGTTTAGCAAGTGGTTTTTGGAGAACACGGTTTCAAAATCAAGCACGGCTAAGCTGCTCCATTTCGTGAAGACGTGTTTTAAATCTAAAGCGTTTTAGGGAATCGCAAGAGCAGCGCAACCGTTTAAACAATGATGATGATTGCGTTTGACCGGCAGCGTCGTACCGTAGTAAATATTTCAAACGTTCTGCAGCGTGGAAATATGTGACTCGGTTTTCACAGCGTACACAGTTGTAAGATAGACGGCCGAAGAAACATTAAACGAGAGGTATTTCAAGAGCTCTGAAGCTAGATAAAGTAAAATGTGTCCGAAAGACCAGAAACGTAGGTTTTCTTTTCTCTATACTCTAGAACTTGAAGAATAGTTCACGCCGTATATCATTGGAATTCGTCTTTTCGCAGTCTCCACAGCGGCTCGCTAGCCCGGACCACAAAAATTTAACCCCACGCGTAGTTTACAGCATTCCCGATCGCTTGCCATTGTGGGTAGTCTTCGAAATCATTTGGTTCGACATCTCAGACGAAGTAGATGTAACAGGCTGGCAAATGACCTTTCGCTGTGGTAAGCCTAACTCTCGACTGGGCAGGCGGAGTCGGCCGGCTCTTGCATTTTTCCGGAGTCGTCAATGGTGTTGGTTGCGTTGCTGTGACGACTCCAGCAGCTGCAGTGTTAGAGACTAACGACAAACGCCTCTCGGAATCTCCAACGACTCGCGCGTGAGCATTAATGTCGGCGATGCGTTCAAGGATGACACATATGTGTGGAAAGGACTCACTAAAACTCTCTATTAAAGGTGTGCACGTGTAGAGAACACAAGGTGCTCCTTTCATTTAGGAACTCTGACGAAATGGCGTCCTAAACACCTCCTCCCGCTAAAATGTGGCGACTAACAAATATAGGCACGTGGCGTACAAGCTACATAGTATACATATATGCATTATCTACGCCTTCGGTGATTACCAATACGAAACAACCGAATGGTTCACTTTTCTATCTCGATTTCAGATGCTAAGCTGCGTGACAGTGCTCAACACACGTGCGCCTATCCCCAAGGTACGTGACTCTGTTCTTCTTCAACTCCGGTATTATGGTACTGTGCCGCAATTCTGCTTGCGTAGAACAAGCAGGGTGGTTTACAGGGTGATTCAAGGAGAGGCCAGGCTCCTTAAATCGACCGTAAAATTCGGTTTCTTAACCTATCGCGCTACGACTCTGTGCAGCGTTGCCCACAGATGGTGCATTTTTTTTTGTAAAATTTGCAAAGAGCGAAGTTATTTGAGGAAAAAGTAACAAAAAAAAGGCTTATCTCCTATGGAAACGCAGTGACACCACCGGTCTTCAAACAACACGGCGCCGTTTCGCACTGGAGACAAGAGATGGCGCAACGAACGCCGCCAACGAACATACGGCGCCGAGTGCCGGCGTCTTTAGCAGCCGATCTTTTTGACTCAAAAGCGGCGCGCGTTCCGTAGGCGGCGACAGTCGCAGAAACAAAAACAGGCGCGGTAACAACAAGGAACTGCACTTCCTTGTCTACTAAAGACGCCGGCTCTCGGCGTCGTATGCTCATTCGTTGGCGGCAGTTGGCGTCGCGACCGCCTGCGCCATCTTTTGTCTCCCGTGAGAAACGGCGCCGTGTTGTTTGAAGACCAGTGGCTTCGCTGAGTTTCCATATGAGCTAAGCCTTTTTCTTTCTTTACTCTTTCCCCAAATAAATTCGCTCTTGGCAAATTTTACAAAAAAAAAAAAGAAAAAAAAATTCCACCATCTGTGGGCAACGCTGCACAAAGCCGTAGCGCGATAGGTTAAGAAACCGAATTTTGCGGTCGATTTAATATGCCTGGCGTCTCATTGAATCACCCTGTATATTGGAACTTTTACTTGGAGCACTAGTCCTACATTCCATTACACAACTAGTGTTATTCTCACCATTCGCCTCCGCTTGAAGGGGTTCTCATATCGCCCCGAAATGTAGGTATTTTACTACCCAGTGATGACAGGTGTGTCACAAATTAAGCTTCCCCTCTAAAGACCAAAACCCTCAAATATCGAGATTTATCTAAGCGATTCGAAAACACGCGTTTCTTTTAAACCTTTTTTTATTACTGTAGTCTATTTATCTGCGAATCTGGATAGCGACAATGCGCATCTCGAAGAAGGCACCGAACGGCGCAAAAATTAATCTGCAAAGCTTGTCATAAAGTTTTGGTTACCCGCACAATACAGCGGATGAATCCGGGCGGAAGTTCCTCCGCCTTTTCTGTCAACACATTGTGAAAGTCTGTTGGGCCTAGCGATACAGAGCTTGCACTGATGTCACGGCACCTGGCATTGTGGTGGCTTGCTGCTCGGAGTTTACATATTGCAGCATACGTCTTGCACCACAGAATTTGTTATAAAGCGAAAACATTAACTGTTTTAAGAAGTGAAGCCGTCGTTGTCTGTAGCCGTTGTCTGTAACCGTCGGTAGCAGAAAATTGACACACGAAATTTTCCTTTCCCAAAAAAAGAAGAAATGAAGGCACCGCAACTCAGATGTTTTGCTACGGAAGCTGTAGTGAAGCCGTCGGTTCGCTGCGCCTGTGCACTGGGGCAGCGTCATGTCACCGCCGGAGCGCCGTGTGCAAAAGGAAGACGTGGCGCGCTGATTGTAAGAATGCGCTGCCGTGTAGGAATGCTTTGGCATTCCTACACGTAAGCAGTCTTGGGTGTCTCTGAAGAATTTTTTATTCTAGGAAATTACAGGTAGAACTGACCACCTGCATGGTGCAATGATGTCACGTAAAAACCGTGTAAACAATCTGCTTTATTTTTTGCCTGTAGAGTGCAAGGCCCCAAGTTGCAGTTTGAGTGCGACTAGATTTCTGTTTATTTTTCGTCGTTCTGCTCAACTGTCTTAAGCTACTTCGCGACTACTAGGCCTAGAGGTGGGGGGATTAAATCCAGGAATTTCATGGGATCAATCCCCACCCCCGCCCCATTCAATCTGGGTGAGCACCGTGTACCGGCGTGCCGTCGTGTATCCCTACGTCGCTATGCACGTTACAGACCCCAGGCTTGTAGTGGTACTGCACTGGAAAAAATTTCTAACCTACAGCACGACACTAGACACCCATTGAGACTTACTAAATTCTGGCTGTCTAAACACACTCACATAACACAATTACAACTTTGTTCTCTGAACGATAAATGTATGCGAACAGAACATTAATGCGTATATACGTTTTTTGTTTCTTCAAATGAACAAAATTTAATGCAGCCACGCTATAATTACTAGTCTGGCCAGCGTGGAAGGAAAATTTTAAAATTTCTTGTGCACTATTGTTTAGCACAAATAAAGCAAACAAACACAAACTTGATTTTTGCCTCCTAGCATAGCCAGCTACATTACTTCTCCGAACCGACTTTCCGACGCCAAGTACAGGGCAGGTGTACGCGCGAGAATTATTCATTTGTTTACTCGTTCCTGACTTGATTCTAAATTGTTGCCGTGTATTTAGGTAACTCCGGGCCACTGACGCCACGCATCGCCACGCGCAAAAACTGGCGCCGCTCAGAGTTCATTACGCCGAACCGTTTCCTGATGAACCGGTATTCGCCACTTGAGATCGTGCTGTCGTTCCGACTTTAATTTTGCTGCGGGTCCCAAAAAAAAAATAAATACCGGTTTCGTCCAGGCTTTCAGTTTGGGTTCGTGTTAGCTTCCTCACCGCCTTTTTTTGTTTTTGTACCCAACACTTGAAGCATAAGTTATCCTTTCTTTGCTTTACTACCCACAGCTTGCACCAATCCTGGCAACCCGGACCCAGGCCACACAGTGACGACCACGGCCCGCTACAACCCGGCCACGGGCCGGTGCGTGACCACCCCGTCGATGACCGGACCCCACGACTGCCAGAGGTTCGCCACTCTGGCAGACTGTCAGCGGGAGTGCGGACAGTAATGGCGGAGTCTTCAAGAACTGCCGAAGACGCCCTTCGGTTATGGAATAAATACACCGACTCTCAATCCACGAGCGTCGTCGATATTATTTTTCCGTCTTGATGACACAGGATGGCGAGCGCGCGTTCACAGATGCATTCAAAAAAGCAGCAAAAAAAAAAAAAAAAAATTACCGGCGATTTTTTAAATGTTATTAATTTTAATGATGGAATGTTGTGTATAAGAAGGCAATAAAATGAATTTTGATACGAGATAATTTAGGATTTTATCGATCGAATATTGTTTAGTCAGACAAAAAACAAAACTAGTACACGAGGGTAGAAAAAGAAACGCCTGCTCATCGGTGGGAAAAGGTGAAATTACAGCTAATTATTTCTTGCCTCGTTTCCCTCGAAAGCTCTCCGCCTTTTCACTGTGTTGCATATCCGCGGAGCCCATACCCGAACCCAGCTCAGCCATAGGACACAAGCACTGGGTCACTTGGACGTATGCACTCTCAACACTCAATCCGACTACCTTTAGCTAAATTACCCAAGCACCAAGGATTACGCTACGAGTGTAGTTTCACGCTTTGCACGTGCTAGTGCCTGCAGCACTAACTGTTCTTAGGCAAAGGTCAAAACAAATATCATCTTGCACGCACATTCGTCAACGCCTTATTTCAGTCATTTAGTTCTAATCTTTCATACGGGGAAGGCGCGTGCATGCGGCGCGTAGTCTTACATTCCCGGCATTCTCCTTGATGCTTGGATAATTGAGCAGTAGGTCAAGGACTGCTGTGAGGGCGCTTATCATCACTTGCGGATGACGAGTTCCGTGGTGTTCTTAAAGAAGTACAGTGGAAACTTGAAGTCATCACGTCCGGTGGCCAATCATATCGCGATCACGTGATTTATCATTTGGCTTTTGAGCTGAGGATTAAAGGGGCGGTGCAACGATATTCAACTGGAATGGTTTCCACTTTACACGAGCTTACTGGCACTGTGCGACTCAAGGATACTCGCACGGAACGTCACTGACCAAGACACTTCTTTGTTGCTGTATAAATTAAGGCCCATAGCGAGCGTTTTAAATAAAATAATAATAGTAAACAGTTTGTTTTTTATTTTTTATTACAGGTAATGATGGGGCTAGAATAAAAGTCGCGGTAGACGGCTTGACAAGCTCTCGACCTCGGTGACATTCTGTAGCAATCATAGGACGCATTTAAGTAAGACACCAAGATATTCAATCACAGAGCAAGCACATTCAACCGATATCAGCTACCCAGTCAATTTTCAAAGGAATATAAAATTACCAGATCTGCGTTCACATAATTAATACAAATACATGCACATGAGGAGGGATCACCAGATTAACACTTAACCGAGACCATATAGCTACAACATACAAATACTTATAGAACCAAATATCAGTTAACTATGTGAGAGCTATACATGGCAGTACGTAATTCATTCAAACTCAATATATCTATGTCAATATTGTAAACTAATGAGTAAATTGAGAAGTCTTGGGACTCGGTAGGCTAACGTTTCTTTGCCGACATCCAATCGACAGGCTGGTATTGGCCAGTTATCGGGGTTACGAGTTTGATACGTCACACCACGTTCTTGCAAATTTGACAATTTCACCAAGGAGTAGGTGTTATGTTGCAGTTTCCTTTAAGACATGTGGATAGTTTATAGCTAAATGTTTTATTGACACTAAGAATATTATAAATTTTGAACAAGTTTTAGTATGCGACAAATATGGTGCTTTTGCAATTGTTCTTAGCATTCTTTTTGAATTAAGCGTACTCTCCAAATTTGTTATTGTAGTTTTATTCCAGACTAAGGAACAGTAATTTAAATAAGAATAAAATAACAATTTATCTAAGAAGAGTCCAATTGATGCTGGAAGTATATACCGGTGCCGGCATATTAATCCTACAACCTTAGATAGCTTTTTATTTAGATATTCAATATGAGGGTCTTGGGTCATATTATGAAACAACACTACGCCAAGTGTGTTAAAATCATCTACCATGTTGATGTCAACTGAGTTTAATCTAATTCTACATATTGAAGGAAGAGTTTTAGGTTTTGTTCGGAATACAATGGCTTTAGTTTTGCTAGTATTTATTTGAAAGCGTTCCTGTCCGTTCATGATGTTATTTTATCTAATACTAAACTAATTTTTGACACGGGCTGTACCACATTATAAGAAGCATAAAGAAGTGTTGTATCATCTGCATACAATATATATTTAATAGATTTCTGAATATTTACTATATCACTTACATAGACGTTAACAAGAAATGGGCCTAAAACACTTCCTTGTAGTACCCCTGAGAAAATTGGTTTTATATTGGACCAAAAGTTATTGCAACACATATATTTTTTTCTTTCAGATTTTTGAGATAGGACCGAAGTAGATGCAAGGCTTGCCGACGAACACTATAATATTCTAGTTTTTGTAATAATAATTCGTGGTTTAAATAATCGAAAGCTTTAGTAAAATCAATATAAACGCCCAAAACAAGTTTGTTATCCTCTAAATTGCGCAAGATAACTTCTTTTTCTTCTAGTAAGACAAGTTCCGTAGAACGATGTTTTTTTAAATCCAAACTGCTACCATGTAATGAGTTGATACTTGTCGAAGAATTTGGACAGTCTTACATGAATACGTTTTTCAAGCCCTTTTGAAAACACGGGAAGTATTGAAACATGTCTATAGACCGACACGCGGGCTTGACGTCACGGTGCTGCGGCGGCGCTGCGATCGCGCCGAAGCCGGGGGGTGTGGGCAAAAGCGCGCACGTTTTGCATGGGCGTCATGGCATTTCAGCATGCCGCGAAGCTGTGTTGCTATTAATTGCACCGAAATGTACAAGAAAAGAAGCGGAGTGAGTTTCCACAAGTTCCCGGCAGACTCTGAAAGACATAGAAGGTGGATAATATCCGTGGATCGAAAAAAATGGTCACCTCGCGCGAACGACCGTTAGTGCGTCAAACACTTTCTTGAAGGCAAGTACGGCTTCCATTTTAATCTCCGTCCCGAGGCTTGGTTATGTGCAGGGAAACCGTTGTCTGATCGAGACCACCCGGATTTTGTTCTCATGGTGTTCGCGCACAAAGCACCGGCCAAGGGCTGGTCGGAGGCTCGCTACGACCGTGCTATCGAGCAGAAGGGGATCGGCGACAGAACGGCAGTTTTGTAGGCGTTACCGAAAAAAAGTAACGAAATACGTCACTCGTTACTTGCAAATAAAAGGTACGCGTTACTCAGCTACGTTACCTAAAAATAAAAGGAACGTGTTACCGCTACCTATAAAAAGTAATGCAGGTTACTTCTGCGTTACTTTTTAAAATTATAATTTAACACATTTTATGGTTTTGACGATACAGGTCATATATCAAGAAACATTATGTACATGCAGAAACTGAACATAATTACTTTATCTCTTTTTACGGTTTCACCTAAATACTTACGAGAAAAAAACGCAAAGAAAAACATGGCTTGACGCCTAAAACACGGAAAACATTTAAGTGTAATTTCTTTAAGACTTGGGAAGTAGTAACGACTAACGTAGCTACGTTACTTGAAAGAGTAACATAAGTACTTTACCCGTTACTGTGTCGAAAACGTAACGAGTAGGTTACTACGTTACTGAAAAAAGTAACGCGTTACCAACAACGCCGTTACTTGTAACCTGTTACGGCCAAGACTGCAGAACGGACAAACCGTTACTGCTTGTCATGCCTTGTGGTCATGAGGGTAAGAAAAATATCATACCTTGACTTGAAGACGCTGTGTGCATTTAATCAATTAATGAATACACACACTTCCGCAGACCCAGAGTCTGCTGATCCCGCCGGCAGTGCGGAAACCGACTCGAAGTAATCGTAGACCTCGAGTGACTTGTACGCCTGCAGCGTGTCGACCGTGAACTGGCTTGTCGAAAAAAACTAAATGTACGACGACGTGAGCCGTCGACTTCCTTGGCAGCAACTTTACGTCGGAAGTCCAGCAGGCCTTGTTTACGGCGTACGGATCCTCGAAAGCAACGCCGTCCACGTGCAGTTTGTTTCGCTACCGCTGCCGTTCAGGCTCGGGTAGTGAGCTCAAATAGTCGGGCAAAGCACACGATAGGTTGTCAGGAAATACGACGAAGAAATAAAGCTGAAAGCATCCCTACAACGTCACCAGCGAGAGCACGCCACACAACGCAATGGCGAAAACAAGGAGAGCCTGACCACCACGTTTGTTTCGATACCGCTGCCGTTCAGGCTCGGGCCACGAACTAAAATAGTTGGCCATAGCATACGACATACCTTGTGAGGAAATACAACGCACAAATAAAGATACAAACGTCCCTACAACGTCAACAACGAGCGCACGCTTTAGAACGCAATGGCGAAAACACCGAGAGCCGGGCTGCTTTTGCCCACATAGCTACCGCGCATATGCGGCCTTCCGGCAGTGTTGGTAAACAGAGCCGCTCCGCGTGTCGGTCTATAGTTATTAATGTCATTCTTATCACCTTTCTTACGCACTACAGAAATTTTGGCAATCTGCATTCTCATTCAATCCCTCCTTCGCAAAACTTGATGACTTATCTGGGCGATCGCAGTACCGTCGAGTTTCGATATTCGAACGCCGCTCATAGATTGAACCCGAGCATTGCGTGGGCACTCGATTTGGGTTCGTGATAATCGATAGCTCGACAAGCATTCGTGTAGTGGTTCGAGTCCAATCGCTAAAATGACAATAGTGAACCATAACAATGTCCAGTACTCAGCGCGTGTCGTGTGCCTTGCCAATTTCTGCGCGTGGGAATGATCAACTTTGGCGGCATACAATGGGCTCCCGATCACGTGGCGGCTTGTTGTGGCTGCGAGTTAAGGGTATGAGCGCTGCTCGTTTTTCTTCAATTTTGATCTGCGACTGCCATAGCGTGTGGTAAAAAATTAACGGGTATTTTACAGGTCATTATAGGACAGGGATCGGTTCTAAATGTTA